GAGCTCTGCAAATGCAGAAATCCCAGGGCCCCGAGTTGGTTAGGCCCTGGGCACATAAACGTGAGGCCGACAATGCATGCTGGATATAGAGGCCGAAAATGCCAAAGGGAAACCGGTCCACTATCTGAATCTGGCCGCAGGCCTTGACGAAAGAGGCTCAACTGCATCTCCTGGGCCCCCAACTGCATCGGCCTGGGTACAGGCACTGGGGCCCAGGCACAGGCTCAAGGGAGGCTGCCCACACGCAACACTGGCATATAGGCAAGCAGGGCAAGTGGGCAGGAATCTTGGCCAATGCGGGCAATGCCGGCACGCTGCGCAAATGCGAGCTGCTGCGCTGCTGCGCTTCATAGCTGTAGTCGTAGAGATAAGCTGTAGAGTACGTAGGGCGCCTGGCGCCATTCAAGAGAGAGAGCTACATTGGGTTATGCTGTTGGTGTTGCCCGATTGGGCTTGGACATTGACTCACGATTCTTCTGTATCATTCTCAAATGGATGGTTACTCGGTTCCATTGTGCTATCTGCTCTTGCTTTGACTACTTGGACTTCAGTGTGATTTTGCAATCTGGATTTCTGTGCTTCGTTCACATTCATGTTCCTTGCACATAGTCCACCCCACCTCACGATCATCGCATTTTTTTCAAGCACACATAAGCTCATGCAGACAGATGCCCCCGTTACCCAAGAACTGAAAAGTGTGGCTCCTCGTTAACCACTTTTGAGGTTTGGCCCGTTACCCAAGAGCTGAAAAGTGGGGTTCCCATTAACCACTTGTGATGCCCAAATGACATTTACAGTTTAACACGGCACACTAGTATGAAGCTGTACTGTTGAGCCGTAAGGTTGCACTGTTATGGTTTCAAGGAAAAGGAAAAAAGATCCCCAGACCCAACTGGCATTCATTCGTGAAACAACGCCTCACCTTACAGTGCACACTATAAAGACTCTTCAACCGACCTGACAGAGTGACCTCCATTCCAGGAACATACCTGCAAACATTCCAGAAGTACATTAATGCAACCTGTTCATTAGAGTGCGATGCAAGCAGGGGAACGGGCAAGGCATAGACACATGTGGAGGGTAGGGAGACAAGATTCTTTTCAATTTTTCTTTAGCCGTCTCGCTTTTTTTCTCATTACAAAACTGGGAATCGGGTCCAGCATCCCTTACGTATATGACGCACTCTATGCTTCCTTCCATTATGCCTGAAGCTGATACAGGAGGATTTACCACTGCTCTACCCCTGTCCGTGGACCCCTAAGACAGCTCCTCTCAGCCCTTCTGACCGCCTGATCGTACTGTGTGCTTCCAGAGCTGAATAGGGCAGAAGTATTTGACTGCATCAATGGCATTGGGTGCTTCCTTTTAGGACAGATTAACCACTGTTCTTCATTTGGCCTCCTGTTGTCGTATCGAGCCTGTGGCAGCTGTACATCCCTGACGACTGGGGTGGTGACTTGATGACCTTGGTTGTCTCCATCCCTGACGAATTGACCACTGCTCTACGCCGCTCATCCTATCCACATTGTTGCACATGGAAAGTCCCGTTCCAGTCCAACATCCTGGCCCTTTTCTCGTCACCCCGGGCTCAGCTCACAAATGCGCTACTGTCAAAATCTGTGATATATGCTAGTTTCCAGCGGGGACAGCAGGCTGCCTTTCACGCTGTGTCCCATTTTTTCCACTGCAAGCTGTTATTCTCTATTGTAGCCTCTTTCCCATCCAATAGCAAGTCTTCGTTGAAAGTCCTTTTCTTAAACCCAATCAAGAAGGAGCTGGGAGGTCCTGAATTCTGGGTCTTCTGCCATTCACTTCGGATCTCCATCTACACCGTTTGGATGTATGGAGACAAGATTCTTTGGAAAGGAAGGATGCAGATTTTTCTTGATACTAACACATCTCCAGTTCTGTTTTTTTTTTTTTTTTTTTTAATGTGCAGCATTTCTTTGCACAATGCACATGAGATTCTCTCTTCCTTTTTTTTTTTTTTTGACAACAATGTTAATTATAAATGCAGGAAAGCGGGTACAGTGTCCCTTACACCCTTGACGTACACAACACTTCCTTCCATTGCGGTAGAGGACCCTGAGGCAGAGGCATTGATTTGAAATGGTTTTCACCTTTGCAGAGGCAGATGCAGATCCCGGGGTTTGATCCCCAGACCTTACCTCACCCATCTACAGTATCGAGCTGACCCCTGAGTATTTGAACCCGTAATCTGTGTATTCGCAAACAGTTGGTAGGCTGTTTTAGGTCCGTAGGTTGTAGGGGATTCGATCTGTAGACCTGTCGGATAGGAGTCTTAGTGAGTTCTAGTAGCTGCTGCAGTCCTGAAGGGTCAAGGTCGTAGCTGCTACAGCACTGAAAGGCCAAGTCCACGGTCTTCCGGAAGGTCCGGAAGTGGCCTTTCGAGTTTCCCCTCACGTTTTACACAGAGGGCAAGAGGCAAGTGGGCAAGTGGTGTGCCCAACTTCGCTTAGTCAACGGTACCCAGTCCCAGTCGCACTTTGCACAGTCAGCAAGTACCAAGGGGGACTGTGTGCACCATGGGCCTGGTGGAAAGAGGCAGACCAACGAGTTACAGAAGTATAAATCAAGAGGCAGCGCACAGCCATTCATTCATTCCTGCGGAAGCCATGCGGAAGCGCTGCCACGGTGACTTGTGCGAGGTGGTCTGCAGAGGAGCCTGAAGTCGAAGTGGGCTGAAGGGAGTTAGTGCAGCTATAGCTGCTTGTAGATTAGTGTTAGCTGGCGGCCATTGCTGTCGTAGGTTAGTGATAGGTGTGTATTCGTGTGTGTGCAGAGTGTGTGTGTGGGGTATCCAGGGTGATCTGGAGTTGAAGTGTGAAGCGAACAGTGTTGTTGGACACAGTGACAAGAGTTGCGATGTGTGGGTGCTGATGCACCATAGCCTGTTGAAGCAAGCTTACATCTGAACTGTGTCTTGGTTTCCATATCTTCGAGCTTTGAGCGAGAGAGAGAGAGAGAGAGAGAGAGAGAGAGAGAGAGA